GGAGATCCTGTGATCTCCCTGCCGGCCTCGGCCCCACGGCCATCGCGGCCCACCGGGCATTTGCCCGGTGTGCCCGATGGCCAGTCCGGGCCTGAATCTCTGTGAGGAAAGTTCAGTGTCTGCATGCAGAGGATGGAGACACTGAATGTTTGGATGCATTTTAGGCAGCCATGACTCTAACAGCTATCTGAGGAGTGGCCAGTGATGTTATTACTAGGCTGTAATGTAAACACTGTATTGTCTCTGAAAAGACAGTGTTTACAGCAAAAAGCCTGAAGGTAGTGATACTACTCACCAGAACATATTCAATAAGGTGTAGTTGTTCTGGTGAGTATAGTGTCCCTTTAATGTGTATCGAACAAAGTCCTGAATTGCGTCCTAACATAAATGGAGAAACTGTTCTCATTCTGCTGGGACGAAATTCGGTAGTTTTGCCTGCGTTCTGTCTAAGTGATAGGACGTTCGGGAATATGAAAATGAAGCACACTTTGCTCCTTAGCTGGTCAGGCGTAGGAAACCTCCATAAGACAAAGTAGTCACTACTTTGTCTTATGTATTTAAGAAAACTAGAGCAGACAGGAAGAAATGGAGAACAGATCCTGACAGAGGGAGAGAAGAGGAATCGATTAAAGAAAGGTAAGTTTGGCAAGACAGTGCTGCTCTAACCCTCTAAAATTTAGTGGACTGTTGAAAGCAAAAGGTGATCTTATATATTCAGAATTTGTACATGCATTAAAGGTATACTGTAGTGCCAGGAGTACAAAGCTGTATTCCTGACACTACCGCTCCCCATGCCTCCCATGCGCTCTTGTTAAAATCCCTTTATTTACTCACTGTAGCAAACTCACCCCTTCAAGGGAGTTTGCCATGAGTTTTTGGAGGGGGCTGCTTGCCCGCCTCCTGCCCTGTGACTTCGGCACATTCTGAATTTTTAGTGCACTTATAAAATGTGAAGCCATGTTATGCACTGGTAATTTTTGAAAATAAATGCATATCTTACAACACTGAGAAGTGTGCCATTGTAAGAGCTGAGACAGCAAAGTGGCCGTAAAATATTACACATCACTTGTCGGGTACAGATAAAACCAGACATCCTTTCATATAATTATGAGCTCCTTGGGGACCCGGGAGTGAATCTCATCACTTTCCATTTTTTATTTAATTGTTGAATTATCTTTTTATATGTTTACTTGTCACCTATATTTAGCAGATATGTTTTTTTATGGTTTGAAATGCACAGTTAAAAGTAGAAATCAACAGTGTTGTTTACCTCTATATTGCAACAGGGCTCATTTTTCTTGGCTCTGTCACAATAGGTATAAATATTGCACTTTTCTGCCATTTAACATAACTAATGGAAGAGGATGAACTAAAACCATATTTTGTTCTCCTCATTTGCATTGTGTGCCTGGACTGAACTGGATTATGAAGTCACTTGCTAAATCTTTAATATATATTTTAACAGAAAATGAAGCAGCACATAAATAAAATATTAACAGAAGTGAAAATTCTGCTCCAAACACATTGGTGGATGTTTGTCAAAGTATTCTATAAAGTGACTGTTTTTTCATTGTTTTGGTTGTGCTTGTAAAATTGGTTTCTAATGGGACAGTTTTCTTCATAGTAATTGGCTCCAGTTTTCGCAGAAATTCGCATTTCTGAAGCTCACCGCATTTAGAGTGTCAGAATAAAGAAAAGTGAAACCAGCAGTTTTCTATAAGAAAAAATGGAAAATAATTCCATTGCATGCCTGAAGAAAGACAAATATATAACTTTGTTCTCTGTGGAATTGTCATTAAAATTATATAGATACTAATAAGTAATCTCTTCCGTACGAACGGAGTTGGATAAACAACCATCTTCAATATTAAAATTAATAATTCTTCCATGATTCTTCTTTCAGAGAACTTAAAGGACCACTATAGGCACCCAGACCACTTCAGCTTAATGAGGTGATCTGGGTGCCTGGTCCATCTAGGGTTAACCCTTTTTTCTATAAGCGCTATGTTTATGTTAGGGTTAATCCAGCCTCTAGTGGCTGTCTCATTGACAGCCGCTAGAGGGCTTCAGCGTTTCTCACTGTGAAAATCACAGTGAGAAGACGCCAGTGTCCATAGGAAAGCATTTTGAATGTTTTCCTATGGACTGGCTGAATGGGCGCGCGGCTCCTGCCGCCATGTGCATTCAGCCAGAGAGGAGGAGGAGAGCTCCCCGCCCAGTGCTGGAGAAAGAGGTAAGTTTAACCCCTTCCTCTCCATCCAGCCTGGCGGGAAGTGGACCCTGAGGGTAGGGGCACTATAGTGCCAGGAAAACGAGTATGTTTTCTTGACACTATAGTGGTCCTTTAACCAGACTTCAAGTTTGTAAACTGTCCCTACTGAGTTCAGTTCAAGAGTACAAGTTACTGGCAGAGAGTGGTTTATTATTCACAAGCTGTTTCCTATTGAAGTTAGTGGGCACAAAGCATTGGCAAACTTTTTATTGCAAGTAAATCAATCACACACCATCCTGTTTTCTCTATGATTACATTTGTTTGCTGCAAAGCACTAAAGAAAAAAAGTTTTCAAAGCTGCATTATGTAGCATAATGCATGGTTAAAAAAGAATTCCTGGGGGTGTGCAGCTGTAGATTCTTTGCTGGCTGGTAACTTCATTTTGACTGTTTATCTAAATTATCCTAAACACATAAACAATTTCACACCTGAATCTGACTGCCTAATTTATTCTCCAAGTGGTAGTCAGCTCCTGGCATGAAGCGTTACGGCTGAGACTGCTTTTAGTTCAGTTTATTGTAAGCTACAGCTGGTTAGAGCAGGTATAAAGTAGTCTATAAATGTTCAGTGTTCACTAGATATAAGGAAGTTAATTCTCCTTAACTGTAAGAGTAGAAACCAAAGGCTGGTTTGTATGAATTTGTAATTGCAGCAAAATAAAATGCTGTAGTGTCCCTAAAAAACTTTACTATAGGCATGTTTCTGCCTAATAAAAGTTTAATATTCTCACTTGGGGGTGGTGGTGTTTTGTTTTGAAATATAGGGACTAGTAAACTCTATGGCTCTTAATTATCAGTTGCCTTCTAAAGTCTCTCCGGATGATAATTGCTTAAGTGTAACCAGCAACCGATCAAGTACCCAGCAGAGATAACCAATTAAAACTCTTGACTTTGCAACCATAACTTTTAGTCCCTACATTTACAAAATAATTAAAATGTAATATGTAACTGATAAAACTGTGTTTATTCATTTCACTAATAGTATTAAATATATTTTATAAAGGTCCATTCCAGCAGAGGAGAGAGCTCGCAGTCCTATATTAATGAAGAGCTGCCTTCAATACCAGTTGTAAGATTCAGTTTGATTTTCATATGCATGCCTGCCTGCAACTGCAATATGCATCAATCTGCTGACTAACATGCTTGTATGCGCTTGTTTCCCACTTTGCACAATTTGAGCTATTTTTTGTCTTAAGGAAATGGTCACAAGACGCAATGGTGATTTCTCTTAAACTTTCAGTTTTACATTTGTTAAATAGTGTGTATGACATATTAACCTAAGTCAAGTTTAAAATCCCATGTAAAATTTGCAGGGCTTTTTCTGTTTCATCCAGGATTGAAATCATATAAGAACATCTATGTTGTCAATGGTGACTTTTTTCAGTCAGTTCATATGCTGTTTTATCTAAAATTGTATTTCGTAACTCGGGGATGCCTACATATGAATAAGCCAGTGTCTCTCTGCTGCCTGTTATAAAATGCAAGATTGTCACTTCTTAAATATAAATTTGAACTTCTCTAAATTGAGTAATTTTAAAGGGATACTTTCATCTCATTGAAGTGGCTTGTGTGTACTGCCCCTGTTCCACTAATTCTGCAATGTAAAACATTGCAGTTTTAGAAAAACTGCAGTGTTAAGACTGCCTCTAGTGGCTGTCTTCCTGCTGTTTCACGGAGTTTGACTCTGGAATAATGCTGGAGTGTTGGAAAGCATTAAATCAGGAAGGTCTAATGCTCTTTCAGCGCTCGTGACAAGCTTGCATTAGGTTCTCCTATCATCTCACATCTGAATCAGGTATGTGAATAAATGGTTATTTAACCCTTTACATTGGCGGGGGGTGGGGACCGGGGTGCAGGGACAGAGAGACAATTTTAGTGTTAGGAATACATCTTTGTATTCCTGACACGATAGTGTGCCTTTAAATACTTTACATGATTTTAATTACCTTTTCTTTCTTTTTCTTTTATTTTTGTTAATGTAATCATTTAAAGGACCACTCTACACCCATAAAGATCTTCAGCTTGCTAAAGTGCTTTATGGGTGAGGAGTATCCCATAATAATAGTTTATCGATCTATTAGAGATTGGCACTTTTGAAATATCAATAAAACACCCCCAGGCTGTCAATTAAACAGCCAGGGAGGTTTCTTTCTGCTTCTGTTAGCTCCCCTGAAAGCCTTCCCCTCTGCATACCTCAGACCAGTGTCCAGTACGCAGCTGTTGTGTGCACATGCCGACGTGCAGGTGCCCAGAGGGAGCCTTTCAGGGGCTTATCAATGAGAAGCATCTGGCTATTTCTCAGCGAAGAGACTGAAAGTCTTTTCCAGGGAAAAAGAAGAGGGTCTGCAAAGGCTGCAGTTAATAAGAAATACAGCTTATGCAAACTGTTTTAAGATATGCATGTTTTCATTGGGGTGTATCTGCTAAACAGTGATTTATATTCCTCCCGCTCCCCTCCCCTCAAAAATGGGCAGTGAAGTGTTCTGTTAATTGTAGCAAAACAATGGATTTATGTGAAATGAATGGAGACTCCCTCATTATTTGCCAACAACCACTTTCACCAATTCAGGTGATTGCCATAGTGACTCAATGCAAGAGCATCTAGAGTGAAGTTTGCCACACTGGGTTGGCAGTGAGCTACCCTTGAGTTTAGAGACTTGATGGAGAGAAGCTGTAACTTAAGTTCACATTTAATATTCTATTAAGGCAGGGGTGTCAAACATGCGCCCCCCCAGATGTTGCTGAACTACAACTCCTATCTGTTTCATTGAAAGAATCATGGGAGTTGTAGTTCAGCAACATCTGGGGGGCCGCATGTTTGACAACCCTGTATTAAGGGAACCCACAAAATGTAACATCAATGCAATCTAGAGATGATACTCGGTGTATGCTATGTAGCAAATTAGGTATGTTGGCTAAATTGTGCATGTTATGGGCCGTGAGTGTCTGACTTAGAACAATTAGCCTGATTTTAGAGAAATTAGTTTTGAGAGAGAGTTTGAAGACTGGGAGATACATGTGACATAGAAGTCAGTGTTACAGATATAAGCTTTGTTAAACTGTGTGTATTTGTTTTTGAGAGGGGATAGCGGAGGAGCACAAAAAAGTTTTTGGGGAAAAACATGGTGTTACATTTATTTCTGACTGCAATTGCTGGAAAACTATCAAACTACTTTAAATACAATTGTGTTAACTTCATATATATATATAACCTGTGAACTAGCAAAGCTGAACAGAGTTTCTTCATATTGTTAGATAAACCTAGTTAGGTCTGCTGTTTGAACTTTGTGTGCAAAATTTTACTCTTTCTTTACATAAATCTGATTATTTTTCCTTGATTCCTTCTACTTGTATGAGTTAGAATTGACTTTAATAAAGACAGACGGTTATGAGTTTGAGCATCTTTCCCAGTCTGAGATTAGAACCTTAGGAAAAGTAGGATATTCATAAAATGTCCTGGGGAGTACAGCAATGCTGCAGTAAACATATTGCTGGATTAATATGATCTGACTTTCAAAACATGCCTATCAGAAATATAAAAAAATCTACTTTAATCATTGTCATTATTTATTTTTATTTTGCAGTTACTACCTACATCCTCTGGCTTACCCCCAGGTTGGGAGGAAAAACGTGATGACAAAGGGAGATTGTATTACATTGATCACAATACCAGGACGACGACTTGGGAAAAACCTGTGTTACAGGTAATGCCAAGTTCACGTTTTCACACAATGTATAGATAGCCTTTGTAGTTTGGGTTTTTGGGTTTTTCTTCTTCACTTTCTAGCCAAATAAGTGCTACACGTGCTGTTTGTGTAAAATTCTAACATTTAGAATCAAATATCACTGGTTACATCTTACATAAGGTCATTGTATTTACATGATCGTTATATATAAATGTGTATTTAGGAATGTCTGTGCTCCACAAATCTCAAGCAAAAGGAGGTGATCATATAATTTAAGACACGGTCTTATTTTGATTTTCTCTAATTGGATGAATTGCTGTATGCTCTGTTTTAATTGAAAAGCTATTCAGTTTTTGTTTTTTTCGGTTTGTCAGATGGGCTTCATTGTACATAGTGTCACACAATCCAGGTTCATTGTTCTAAGGCAAAAGGTGTTGAGCCAGGAGGTCATCTCTTTGAAATAAAATTTTTATCATGGATTGCAGGATAAAACTTACCAGGAAAGGTTAAAGGATCTTAACATGCATATCTTGGCGATAAGACGAGACAGGGGGGATATGATAGAAACATTTAAATACATAAAGGGAATCAACACAGTAAAGGAGGAGACCATATTTAAAAGAAGAAAAACTACCACAACAAGAGGACATAGTCTTAAATAAGAGGGGCAAAGGTTTAAAAATATCAGGAAGTATTACTTTACTGAGAGGGTAGTGGATGCATGGAATAGCCTTCCAGCTGAAGTGGTAGAGGTTAACACAGTAAAGGAGTTTAAGCATGCGTGGGATAGGCATAAGGCTATCCTAACTATAAGATAAGGCCAGGGACTAATGAAAGTATTTAGAAAATTGGGCACACTAGATGGGCCGAATGGTTCTTATCTGCCGTCACATTCTAGGTTTCTATGTTTATTGTCTCTTTAAAAGAAAATTAATAAGACACAGGACATATGTTGTTTGGGTTAAAAAAAAAAAAGGGGGGGGGGTTGCCCCTGCCCCCACACCACAGTTTCTACTTCCAAATATGTTTGCTAAACGCTGAGTATACAAAAATGTTAAAGAAGCACTGTACTCACTATAACAACACTATCCAGCCATGTCCCAAGTTATAAATAGCATTATTTTAATAAATTGAAGGCTTGGAAGCCCTCTTGGTAGGAAAGCCGGGACTGTTGCTACTTGGCTCTCATACCCAGCCATATACGCAGTGCCGTTACGTCTTGACAAAGAGATTCATTCTCTTCAATGATTATCTATGACAATAGTATCATTGGTGGATTGTGGATTTGTATTCTTAACACTATAGTGTCCCTTTAATATTCACTAAGCAAACTAGATAAATGGTAATCCAGAATTACCCAAGTATATATCTAGATGTCTATCTCTATACCTCTCAGGATTTTTGTCAGTTTAAAGCTAGTGCTGGCAGTTTCAAAATGCCTGACTCCTCCTAATCATCAAATATTGTGCTATGTATATTAATGCAAACATGAATCACTTGGATGATATCACATAATATGATCTGTACCCAATGCTGGCACACTCATCAGCAAATGTATAGACTAGAACAGTGGTTCCCAAATTTTCTTTTATCTTCAAGGCGCCCTTAAATGAGCACTATAGGGTCAGGAACACAAGCATGTATTACTGACCCTATAGGGTTAAAACCACCATCTAGCCACCCTGGTCCCCTCATGCCTCCCTAAATGTTGTAAAATCTTACTTGTATTCAAGTCTGCAGCTGCGTACTTTGTCCCTGTTTCCTTTTGACCTGCCCACTGCCTGCTGACATAATCAGAAGTGGTAGCCTGATCCAATCACAATGCTTCCCCATAGGATTGGCTGACACTGACAAAGAGGCAGATCAGGGGCAGAGCCAGCACAATTCAAACCCAGCCCTGGCCAATCAGCATCTTCTCATAGAGAGGAATTGAATCAATGAATATCTATGAGCAAAGATGAGTGTCTGCATGCAGAGGAAGGAGATACTGAATGTTTTGATGCATTGTAGGCAGCAATGACCCAGGAAGGATTTCTAAGAGCCATCTGAGGAGTGGCCAGTGAAGTTATCACTAGGCTCTGAAAAGACAGTGTTTACAGCAAAAAGCCTAAAGGTAATTGTAACGGCTACCCAGCTGGGGGGGGGGGGTATCTGCCGTTGGAGACGTCCTTTTCTAGGCAAGCTGCTGTGAAGTAATGGAGTTCTTATTCCCATCCATGATATCCAAGTGTATAATCCGGCAGTGCTGTAAAATGAGGCAGAGTAACGGTACCATAAATCCCCTCCAAGAACGAGACGAGGCTACGTTTTAAAGGGTCAAGTAGAACTGATGTTTATTGACAGGGGTCTCCTTTTATACAATGGTGCCCTCTGAAAGGCTACACCCACATAATTAACACAACAGCCAATTAGATACATGGTTCAACCCCGACGTCTCCTCCCCTCAGATAACATATAACATAATTAAAACAGACACAATTTTAACCACATTCTGGATGTAAGTCCAGCACCGCTTGATAGCTCTCACTCAGGGGAACAATATGTCCAAATTTCAGCCCATTCGGTTGAGGGGTTCGGGAGTTATGGATCTTTGAAGTTTTGACCGACCGCACAGGTTTTCTAGCCGAAAAGAGTTCCATAAGTTTTGGCCTTGCGGTCGGTCTCCGTTCGTGCATTAAAACCCCACGAACCCCTTGCCATCCACAGTCATCCTGGTGTTCGCTGGAATCCCTATGAGAGCTTAAACAAAACTACCGAACTGCCGGTTGTTCGGTAGTTCCAGCACAAACTTACGAGCTCCTGGAGGTATCAGCGGTGTTCGCCTGTTTGCGTATCCGTTTTTAGTTCCATGCGTTCACAGGCAAACACCGCTGTTCGTGCGTAAGATGGCCGCGAACACGTGTGAAGTCCCGAAATGGTGGCCATCTAACCTGAGCACAAAGGAATTCGTATGAACCATGCGAACGGCTCCACAAGCTCTGGGAGGTAAAATACCAATTAACTGTTCCCCTGGGCGGTCCGATGTTCGGTATTTTGGGCTGTATTCTCTAGTAGGAATAGTTCCACGAAAATAGCCATTCGTTTTTTTGTGTAATACATCCAGCAGTGTTGTTATCTAAGTCCAGGCAAAAAGCATGGGCAAAAGCATAGTTCTGTTACAGTAATGATTCTACTCACCAGAACAAATTCAATAAGCTGTAGTTGTTCTGGTGACTATAATGTCCCTTTAATATTTCAATATTTTTCCAAGGCACCCCAAGTCAAAATTTCTAGGTTGTATAAGTGTACAGCTCTGCGGCATTTACTGGCGCTATAGTGTAATGTACAGTGTTGGTGTTTGAAAGGGTGCTTGTAAATAGTTTAATACAGAGGTGTGTTTGTGTGTAATGTTTGAGTTTGATTGCAGGGTTGTGTCTGTACGTAACATTCACTTTTAAATGCAGATGTACATTTGTGTAAAGTATTTGTGTTTGTGTGATGGGGTATGTTTGTATATTTTTTTTGTTGGAGTTTGATTGCAGGGGTGTGTTTGTTTGTTCTGCTGGTGTTTGACTGCTTGGATGTATGCACATACATACAACCTTATACAGATATTCGTGCACATTAACACACACATACATAGATACACACCGACACATACACACATACACTCTGATACATACAAACATTGATACAGACACACACCATGACACAGATACACACACTGACATAAAAACACACACCCTGACACACAGATGCATATACAAAGATGTGTGCGCGCACACTGACACAGAAGCACCCGAACATTTATATGCAGACCCTGACACAAACACACACACACTTATACATGCATACACACACAAGTGATTTTTTTTTCCTATATATATATATATATATATATATCTCCAGCCACCCTCCTGTTATCTTACCTTATATGTCAAATCTCAATGTATCCATCCTGGTAAAATATTTTATAAATATAATCATAACACTGGGGAAAAAACCCAGTGCTATAATCATAACACTGGGGAAAAAACCCAGTGCTATAATCATAGCACCGGGGAACCACTGGACTAGAAGATATACTTACATGCAGATAATTCCCTGAAGATTTCCTTCACACTCGGCATGGTGTACGGAGCA